CATGTCGAACACAATATTCCCCACGTATACGTAATTCATCAGGATTAAATGGAACTTTTATAAATTCTTCATCAGTTAACGATTCATTTATAGAAATATTTGATCTTATTCTGGATGGATTTACAATTATTGTTGACGATTTAATTGTTGTTTTATCGAATTTTTGTTTAGTTGGTTTTAGTAATTTTTTATTAGTTGATACTTTTTCTCTTATTGTTGTTGTTGTTGTTGAAACAATTTTTCTTGTTGATGATTGATCACAAGATGATGGAAAAACAGTACAGAATTTTTTTTTAACTTGTTGACAAACATTAAATTGTTCTTCTTTTGTAATTTTTTGACATTTCTTAATTAAATCATAAAATTTAGATTTAACTTGTAAACAATCACGATTTAATGGAGTTTGTTGACATTTTTCACGTAGTCGATCATATTTATCAATATCATCACATTTATTTATAGAATATAAACTAAATAAACATATTAAACCAAGCAAACGCATTCTTTTTAACAAATAAATCATCATTTTATTCTTAGTCTCTTTGTTTGGTTTGGTTTTTTTTTTTCTATAAATTCTTACATGAAATTTATATAAATCTTATCTAATCGTTGTCGAAGTAATAAGAGAAAAAATGATGAAATATGATTCTATAGAGACGAACAAGGAAATTCTATAGAATAACATTGAAGGATAATTGATAAGTACATGTTTTTAATTGTTTTTGTTTTTTTATTAAAAAAAGAAAAGAAAAGAAAAGAAAAGAAAAGTAAAATAATGATATTCGTATAATTAAATAAATTCTTTCAGATATTATATAAAATGATTTCATATGAATTATTGATTAAATGAAATAAATATCATTTAATTAAAAATGATAAATGAACAAATGAATTATAAAAATGATTTAAATTCAAATAAAATTTATTATATTCCAAAACGTTTTATTGTTGCTATATTAACATCATTTGGTTTACTTATTTCAACTGTTATTCAAACAAATTTTTCAATAACAAATTCATTAATTTTAAATCCACATAATTCAAACGATATTCCTATTGATGATCATCAATTATCAAATACGGTTTTTATATTTAATTTTAAATTTTATTCTTTAATTATTTTAATATTATTTTTAGCCATCAAAACTAAATTGGACTTCACTTGAATTAGCTTATCTTAATTCAATATTTTATCTTGGATATTTATTAGCACATATTCCAGCTGGTTTTCTTGTTCATAAATTATCAGCAACAAAGTATATTTTATTTCACTTTTATTTCACTTTTATTTTGTTCTTATTGATTTTAATAAATATAGAATATTTCTATTTCCATTATTATTATTATTAATATTAAATATGTTAATGCCATTATCAATCAGTAGAATAACATCAACATATAAATTAAATTATTATATAACTGGTCTTGTACGATTTGTTCAAGGATTATGCACAGTAAACAATATATATTTATTTATTTATTTTATATAATTCGAATTAATTTAAATTAGGGTTGTGCTTTTCCATCATCACATGGTATTCTTGCTAATTGGTGTCCACCAAGTGAACGTGGAAGAATGGGTGGTTTTATTTATACAGGTACAAATTTTCCATTAAACAGAAAAAATCAGATGAAGAAATATTTTTCTATTTTTATTTCTATATTTAAGGTCTTTATGCAGGTCCAGTTGTTGGATTTTTCCTAGGTGGATTTATAGCAAAATATGCAGGACATTATTCGGTTTATTATGCATCAGGTATCTGACATAATCAATTTATTTATTTTGTTATTATTTCTTGGTCCTTCTTATTATTAAGGATGGAATTAATTTAAAGATTTTTCTATTTAAATTAATATTTAAATCAAATGAATATATAATTTATAATTGGGTGGGTTAATATGCTTATTATTATTTAGTCTTGATTATTAATACATGATTGATTATGCTTTTTTTGAATAAATATTTAATTAATAAAAACTAATAATAAGTCTAATATTTATAGCTAGTCTTGGTTTAATATGGTCATTAGGATTTGTTTATTTTATTTATGAAAAACCAATTGAACACCCAACAATATCTGAAGAAGAACTTATTTATATAGAAAAAAGTATAGCTGATATTAAATATTTATATGATGAAAAAGAAACGAATTCAATTCGTAAAGTTCCATGGAAAACAATCTTAATATCATTACCAGTTTGGGCAATATGTTTAGCACATTTTGCACGTGGATGGACATTTTATTTATTATTAACAAATCAACCAGCTTTTTTAAATGCATTTGGATTTGGTGTTACAGAAAATGGTACACTCGGATCATTACCACATATTATGAAAGTTCTTATAGCTTTATTAAGTGGATTTATTGCTGATTATATGCGTTTAAATTTATTATGGTCAACAACAAATGTTAGAAAAATAATGACTTGTACTGGTAGAATATATTTAGTTTTCTAAATATTATTATTATTATTATTATTATTTTGTTGTTGTTTTTTTTCAATAGGATATATAA